GAACTCTCTTGTCAGAATAATAATCTTTCTAGAGGCCGTATTCCTATGGTGTATGCCCTTCTTACTGATCCGAGTTGTAAAGTACTCTATATGGATCAATGGGAACGGGACCTGAAGATTAGTTATGATGTATCAGATTGTGTTGCGGCCAGATGGGTTATATGTTCCACGTCTGGCGGCGATGTCTGATAGCTGCTAGATTTTGGATCCGTATATTTAACCTTATATATACAGCGACGAGGGTGAATGTTCGCAGGACCCCGGAGACAGCTCTCTTCCATAAATTTCCAATTACAGTGCCAAAAAAAATCCCTTAAATTGCTTACCTATATGCTGCTAGCAGCAAGAATCACTACAGCTCAATATGTTTAGTTACATAGTTATCCTGGCTGAAAAAAGACAAAAGTCCATCCGGTTCAACCATAGAAAAAAAAAGTTACAGGTGAAACTCGAAAAATTAGAATATTGTGCAAAAGTTCATTTATTTCAGTAATGCAACTTAAAAGGTGAAACTAATATATGAGATAGACTCATTACATGCAAAGCAAGATAATTCAAGCCGTGATTTGTCATAATTGTGATGATTATGGTTTACAGCTAATGAAAACCCCAAATCCACAATCTCAGAAAATTAGAATATTGTGAAAAGGTGCAATATTCTAGGCTCAAAGTGTCCCACGCTAATCAGCTAATTAAGCCATAACACCTGCAAAGGGTTCCTGAGCCTTTAAATGGTCTCTCAGTCTGGTTCAGTAGGAATCACAATCATGGGAAAGACTGCTGACCTGACAATTGTGCAGAAAACCATCATTGACACCCTCCATAAGGAGGGAAAGCCTCAAAAGGTAATTGCAAAAGAAGTTGGATGGTCCCAAAGTGCTGTATCAAAGCACATTAATAAAGTTATGTGGAAGGGAAAAGTGTGGAAGAAAAAGGTGCACAAGCAGCAGGGATGTCCACAGCCTGGAGAGGATTGTCAGGAAAAGGCCATTCAAAAGTGTTGGACTTTTACAAGGAGTGGACTGAGGCTGGAGTCAGTGCATCAAGAGCCACCACACAGACGGATCCTGGACATGGGCTTCAAATGTCGAAGTCCTCTTGTCAAGCCGCTCCTGAACAAAAAACATCAGAAGCGTCTTACCTGGGCTAAAGAAAAACAGACCTGGTCTTTTGCTCAGTGGTCCAAAGTCCTCTTTTCTTATGACAGCAACTTTTCAATCTCATTTGGAAACCAAGGACACTGCAAGATGCTTGAAGTCCAGTGTGAAGTTTCCACAGTCTGTTTATTTGGGGAGCCATGTCATCTGCTGGTGTTGGTCCACTGTGCTTCATTAAGTCCAAGGTCAACGCAGCCGTCTACCAGGAGATTTTGGAGCACTTCATGCCTCCTTCCGCAGATGAGCTTTATGGGGATGCTGACTTCATTTTCCAGCAGGACTTGGCACCTGCCCAAACTGCCAAAAGCACCAAAACCTGGTTCAATGACCGTGAGATTGTGCCTGATTGGGCAGAAAACTCGCCTGACCTGAACCCCATAGAGAATCTATGGGGCATTGCCAAGAGAAAGATGAGAGACATGAGACCAAACAATGCAGAAGAGCTGAAGGCCGCTATTGAAGCAGCCTGGTCTTCCATAACACCTCAGCAGTGCCACAGGCTGATAGCTTCCGTGCCACGCCTCATTGAGGCAGTTTTTGCTGCAAAAGGGGCCCAAACCAAGTACTGAGTACATATACATGCTTATACTTTTCAGAGGCCTGATATTGTTCTATGTACAATCCTTGTTTTTTGATTGCATGTAATATTCTAATTTTCTGAGATTGTGGATTTGGGGTTTTCATGAGCTGTAAGCCATAATCATCACAATTATGACAAATCACGGCTTGAACGATCTTGCTTTGCATGTAATGAGTCTATCTCATATATTAGTTTTACCTTTTAAGTTGCATTACTGAAATAAATTAACTTTTGCATGATATTCTAATTTTTCGAGTTTCACCTGTATAATCCTATACCCACAGTTGATCCAGAGGAGGACATAAAAAAAAAAACTCAGCAAAGCACGATCCAATTTGCTCCTGCTGGGAAAAAAAATCATTCCTGATCCTCCGAGAGGCAATCGGATATTCCCTGGATCAACTTTACCTATAAATGTTAGTATCCAGTTATATTCTGTGTATCCAAGAAAGAATCCAGGCCTTTTTTGAAGCATTCCACTGAGCTGGCCAGAACCAACTCTTGAGGGAAGTCTATTCCAAATTTTCACAGCTCTCACTGTGAAGAAACCTTTCCGTGTTTGGAGATTAAATTTCTTTTCCTATTGGAAGAGATCAGTTATTCCATTTGAATCTGTTAGGAACAAATTAAATTGGATCACGAGTAATGACATACTCACCTGTATTCTACACAACAATACTGCTAAATTTGAAAAAAAATGGACCCATGAATTTTATACATTTCTGTGCCTTGATATTTCAGCCAATTACAACCAATGATTCTCACATACTGTATATGATGAACTCAATGCTGGGTAGTTTCTATTTGGCCTACCCAGGTGATTTTGCACAGATCTTCTGTTTTCCAAAGCTATGTCTGTTGTTTGTTAAAACAGGTGTTCTTATGTGTTGGTTGACATTTTCTGTTATAACATGACATTTGTCTTTTTGCGCTATTTGTAACTTGAAAAATTTTCAATAAAAACTATAAAAAATAACATACATGTCATTCCTGCTCTGTGCAGTGGTTTTGCACAGAGCAGCCCTGACCCTACTCTTCTCTGGTTCCCTGCCGGTGCTCCTGGCCCTTCCCCCTTGCTGATTGTCCCCAGAGCAAGCTGCTTGCTCTAGGGGGCACTCGTGCATTTTCGCTCCCAAGCCGCCTTGTATACCTTATACACACAGAGCACGGCCCCTGCACCCTCCTCACTGCTTGATTGCCAGCAGCAGCAGGAACCAATGGGAAGGCAGAGATCCAGGAGAACTGCTGCCCCCGTGCACTGTGCTGGATTGAGATCGGGCTCATGTAAGTATTGGAGGGGCTGAGGGAGGAACTGCACACTGAAGGTTTTTTACCTTCATGCAAAGAATGCATGAAGGTAAAAAACCTTGAGCCTTTAGAAGCACTTTAGGCCTCATGTTAACTGCTGCTCCTATACATGCCTTTAGGAGCTTTTGGCGTTTATTTGCTAAAGCCCCTGAACTCAATTCAATAAAAGCCTATGTGTCCATGTACACACAGGCTTTTATCAGAGTTTAGGAGAAGCAGAGTTTAGGGGCAGTTAAATATTTCTCTCCTGAACGCGATTCTTCTGCGTTCAGGAGAGGGACGTTTTGTTAAAAAAAAAAAAAACGCTGAAGCTGCAAAAACGCTTGTAAACGCTGGCCAAGTTTTGTGCTTTGGCATTTATTCAAGTCAACTGAAAATACTGTGGCCAATCCAATGAGTAAACGTCCAAGGGCTAAGTGAACGCAGTACTGCTTTTAAATGTGTTTTTGCTGCACTTAGTGTTTTACTCCAGGAGAGCTAAATGTCTAGGGGAGTTCATGGGTACAGGAAGCCTTAATATTGATTCACTGACTTGGAACAATAATTTAGATTAGGAGCTCTGGAATTAATGCTGACTTCATGTTTGCTCTAGGTGACTGACTACTGAGACATCCAACCTGTACATTAAAAGTGAATAACGAGTGCATATATTTTGTTGGGACACTGACACCAATGTTGGGGCGCTATTATTCCCACTGACACCAATGTTGGGGCACTATTCCAATCCTCCCAGCTCCAGCAGAGATGAAGGTGTGAGTAGCACACATTTTTCACTGACTACAAATGCATGACTGAGCCTAAGCTATATTTGGAGTAAGTGGCTACCAATGTAAATGGGCATATGTTTGCACTGACCAGACCACCAACATACAATAAGGCCATGTTTACCTTGACGACCCCTCCTCCAGACCGGGCTCCCTCCCTCTCCCATCCACAATCAGTGTGCCTGCAGCTGTGCCCTCTGCTCTGCTCTTCCCGGATCCCGGCCACACGGCACAGACACTCACTGATCAGCTGGCCTCCTTGTCTGGCTGCTCCCTGGCACCACACTGATCAGCTGTCTTCCTTATCTGAGTCTGACCGCTCTGGCCGCTCCCTCACAGCACACCGATCAGCTGTCTTCCTTGTGCTGCTGCTCGGCTCCTCCTCTCTGCCTGTGTGTTTTTGTCCTGGCCTACAGATCTGGCGGCCAATCACTGGCTAGGAGGTGGAGCTTGCAGGGGGAGGAACAGGCTGTGGGATCAGATAAGAGTGGGTCGGGGTTAGCCTGTAACTGGACTGGGCTAAGCTGGCAAGCAAATCAGATGGGGAAGGAATATTCCCACCCACATCATGACATCTGCCGGTGATCCACCCGGGAATGAGAGCAGGACACCCGAGACCTTCTCTACCCCTCCCTCCTGCAGCATTTTGCCTTTGCGGATCGGATCAAATTGGGAACACATGTAAGCCTACATAGTGGCTGCTGTCCTAAGTGTCACTTCGGCGGGAAGGGAGGCACTGAAAAGTGCTGGCTAGGCAAACACTCTAGGCAACCACCTTGTTTGCCTCGCCACAAACACGCCCCTGAGTGCATGGCCTGAGCAACCTCCAACAGTATACGTAGAAGGTATAATACCCATTAGGAAACCTTCAGCGTTACCAGGCATGTAGATGTTCAAGTAGAGTTATCAACCACTGTCGCTGCAGTGGAGGGATTATCTAACCAGCAAGAACATACTCTCTGAAACTTTAATACTAGCCATATTATCACAGTGAGCAATCCCTTTCATCATTAAGGAACATTCAAATCAAACACAACATCCAACCATATTTAACTAAATTGATCTATTTGTTATGGGTGGACTGACCCTTTAAATGCCTTCAGTGTACTATTACTTCTTATAGGTTGGATTAAGCTCTGTACTCTTTCTTTAGCTATTTTTATTTTATTTATTTATTTTAATTTCTTCAAGCTTGGTTATCCGAGGAGACAAGGCTGATCATGCTGTCCTTTGTAGCCCAGACAAAACATATGACTTGAAAATTGCTGACACCTCCAATTTGCTGCTGTTCATCCCAGACTGCAAAACCCCTGACCAGCTTCCTTGTGACCAAGCGTCCCTCAGTGTCTGTCTGTGCGAGGTAAGGTCTCTGTGTGTTAGAGGCACATTAAGTTTTTTCTATTAGTCAAAAATGTATGAAAGTGTACATAAAGTGTAGTAATAGTTATCTAACACTATTGAGAGAGAATTTCTAATTTGGCACTGTAGGTAACTGCAATTTGTACATCAATTCTGTCTTCACTGCTGTACTGTATACCTGCATGTGTTGAAAATATATATATCAGTAACAATAGATTACTGCAATATTAAATTAATGGGAAGCCACAAGTCTATTTAAAAAAAAAAAAAAAAAAAAAAAATCTGAACTAAAAAAAAGCTGTTCTTAAACTTCAGTCTAGTGACTATACGTATGACGACGCCATCAGTCAAGAAGAAGTATTTCCCCAGTCGCCTCTTCCCCAGTGAGCAGACTGGAAAATTGTGGGCCAGTTTACATTTTTGCAGTGTGTTAACTTATGTTGTGTTAAGGCAGACTGTTGTGTATTGGGGTGGTATTCAAGATGAATAGCACCACAACACCTGCAACGTGTGTTGCCCTCACAAGGTAAGAGGCTGCAGCATTTGCTGTTCTGTTTCAAAATCCATTTACACTTCTGCTTTGTGGAAATGCACTACAACACCTTAAATGTGTTGCAGGGTAATTAGTTCTGAATGGCACCCCAGTGCACTAAGGCAACACAATCCACAATAGTGCATTGCATTGCTAACAATGGCATGTCTGATTTTTGTCACATTGGGGTGCAATGGCAGCCTATTCAATTCAATTGACTATTTTGAAACAACAATGGCAGTGCACCACAAAAATGTAAGTGGACCATCAGACATTTGTGAACACAGCCATCACTAGGTGTACCAGGGTTTACATGATTATATCATCTCTACACCACCATCTCAGACCAGAAACTGGATGCCAAAACAAAGATGGCTGCGTACACTTTAAAAAAAAATATTTCTGATGTTTGGTCTACTTTAAATTATTCATAGATATAAGATGCTTATCTCCTGATAAAGCCAGAAATTGTGAGAACATTAAAGTGGTTGTAAAGGCTCAAGGATTTTTACCTTTGTGCATTCTATGCATAGAGGTAAAAAACCTTCTGTGTACAGCAGCTCCCTCAGCCCCTCCTAATACTACAAATGAGCCCAATCGTGATACAGTGATGCGCACGAGAGCCTTAACTCCCTCCCTCATTGGCTAAGATAGCAGTGTGCCCATGAGAATGGAGGGGGTGGGGCCAAGCCACGGCTTTGTGTAGGAATGGACATGTAGAGCAGTGGCTCGGGAGCACTCGGCAGGAGGAGAAGGGCAATAAGCGCCGGCGGAGGACCCAAGGAGAGGAGGATTAGGGCTGCTCTTGCAGAGACACGTGTTTACATCAGGTTTTCAGTGAGTTTTATACATACAGAATATTCCTGCGCAGAAATAATCCACATTTAATACTAGTGTTGTGTGAACAGGGCACATATTGTTTTCATTGTGCCCTTGCACAACTCGTGCAGAAAAACTGAGGTCTCTGCAACATGGTGTTAATTAGACCTTAATGTTGACCTGTGCAGACATCCCCTGGTTTTTCCAGATAATTGCTTATGTTTTCTCAGAGATCAGGCTCATCCACAGAAGCATAAACATGCATACTCTGCTGATGTGACTTCAGCTGCTTTATTTATTATAGGTACTTATATAGCGCTGTCAATTTACGCAGCGCTTTACATATGTCGTATATTCACATCAGTTCCTAACCCTCAAGGGGTGTACAATCTAAGGTCCCTAACGTACATTCATACATACACATACTAGGGCCAATTTAGACAGGATCCAATTAACCTACCAGCATGTCTTTGGAGTGTGGGAGGAAACCGGAGTATCCAGAGGAAACCCACGCAGGCACAGGGAGAACATGCAAACTCCAGACAGGTGGTGCCATGGTTGGGACAATCATGTTGCCTGTAATGTTTGTGGGCTTCTTTTTTAAAAATTCACTGTTGAATAATACTTTTATGGACTGTGTGCTGCAGATTGCTGGATTCTCTAATCACTACTGGGAGCTAAGGAGATGTCGGCCAAAACTAAAGAAGCTGAAGAAACTTTTGTTAGAAAACCCCTATGATGGACCAGAGAACGAACAAGACAAAAGCCAGGACATAGTGCTGGTAAGGGACCAGTTGTGGCTGAATCAATATTCCTTTTTTTTTTTTTTTTCATTTATTTATTTTTTTTTCTATCAGTCTTCATTTTAAAATATTCACAGCCAAGGTTTTGCAAAGTATTGATAATTTTGGTGCCTGTTTCTGATAGTGCCTTCACCTGTTCCCCAGCCCTGTCCATAATTGGGAAAGACAAAAGTTTGGCTTTAGCTGAAGTCTAGGGAACTAAAAAGTACTTCCCTTGTAGTAGTGCTCCCCCCTCCCCATTGCAAGGATTAAATGGTCATTTTTGCCATCAGTACAATTAACAAGCACTTTACTTGCTTTATCCTTCGCTTCTGTAGTCTCTTCCTTCCATGTGACTGGTCCCCAAATCCTATTTTTTTCAGATCAGATTATAGATTTTAATTACGTACAGTGTAGGACCAGCGTTCCAGGTTGTGAGGACACCAAGGTCCCACCCACAACCTGGAGTGTCGGAAGGGAAGAGGGGAGCGCCATCTGCAAGGTAACAAGGAAGCAAAGGATAATAATTTGGAGCAAACAACGAGCCATAGGTGGGGGTCAAGCGAATGCCTAGGTATTCAAGTGAAGAAGAGGCCCATTAGTAAGGAAAGTGGGATTGTAAAAAGTAATATTGAGAGCGACAGTCTTATCCAAATTAATACGGAGACCAGAAATCAAGAAGAAACGTGGAAGAACCTGTTGCAAATTTGAGAATGTCATCAGGGGATTAGTGAGAGTCAAGAGGGCATCATCCGCAAAAAGGTTCAACTTGAATTCCTGTCCCACGTATGGAACACCCGATATGTTACAATCAGCCTGGAGCGCTAAAGCCAGTGGCTCAAGCGCCAGGACAAACCGCGCCGGGGACAGTGGGCATCCCTGTCTTGTCCCTCACCAAATAGGAAAGGCATTAGAGAAATACCCAGCGTATTTAACCGAAGCTGAAGGGGAAGAATACAAGGCTTGAATCCAAGAGAGAATGGATTCCTCAAAGCCCCAACGAGACAGCACAAACCGCAGATATTCCCACGATAGAGAATCAAAAGCTTTATATACAGTGAAGGAAAAAAATATTTGATCCCCTGCTGATTTTGAATGTTTGCCCACTCACAAAGAAATGATCAGTCTAAAAATCGAATGGTAGGTGTATTGTAACACTGAGACAGAATAGCAACCAAAAATGCAAAAGAAAATGCATGTCTAACAAATTATGCACTGATTGGCATGTTCAAGAGGGAAATAAGTATTTGGTGCCCTTCACAAAACATGACTTAGTACTTGGTGGCAAATCCCTTGTTGGCAATCACAGAGGTCAGACGTTTCCTGTAGTTGGCTACCAGGTTTGCACACATCTCAGGAGGGATTTTGGCCCACTCCTCTTGGCAGATCCTCTCCAAGTCATTAAGGTTTGGTGGCTGACGTTTGGCAACTCAAACTTTCAGCTCCTTCCACAGATTTTTAATTGGAATAAGTTCTGGAGACTGGCTAGGCCACTCCACGACCTTAATGTGCTTCTTCTTGAGCCACTCCTTTGTTGCCTTGGCCATGTGTTTTGGGTCATTGTCATGCTGGAACACCCATCCACGTCCCATTTTCAATGCCCTGGCTGAGGGAAGAAGGTTCTCACCCAAGATTTGACGGCACATTGCCCCGTCCATCATCCCTTTGATGCGGTGCGGTTGTCCCCTTAGCAGAAAAACACCCCCAAAGCAGAATGTTTCCACCACCATGTTTGACAGTTGTGATGGTGTTCTTGGGGTCATAGGCAGCATTCCTCCTCCTCCAAACACGGCGAGTTTTCTTGATGACTGTGGTCCAAGCTGCCTAGAGATCATTGACAAGATCCTCACGTGTAGTTCTGGGATGATTCCTCACTGTTCTCATGATCATTGACACTCCCCGAGGTGAGATCTTGCATGGTGCACCAGACCTAGGTAGACTGACAGTTCTTTTGTGTTTCTTCCATTTGCGAATGATTGCACCAACTGTTGTCACCTTCTCACCAAGCTGCTTGGAGATAGTTTGGTAGCCCAGTCCAGCCTTGACTACAGTCTTGTCCCTGACATCCTTGGAACAGCTCTTTGGTCTTTGCCATGGTGGAGAGTTCGGAATCTGATTGTTTGATTGCTCCTGTGGTCAGGTGTTTTTTATACAGGTAACAAAATGAGATTAGCAGCACTCCCTTTAGAAGACTGCTTCTAATCTTAGCTTGTTACCTATATGAAAGACACCTGATAGGCAGAAATCCTGCTGAATGATAGGGGATCAAATATTTATTTCCCTCATGAACATGCAAATCAGTGCATAATTTGTTAGACATGCTTTTGAATTTTTTGATGCTATTCTGTCTCTCTGTGTTACAATACACCTACCATTCAATTTTTAGACTGATAATTTCTTTGCAAGTGGGCAAACATTCAAAATCCACAGGGGATCAAATACTTATTTCCTTCACTGTATGTCTAAAGACAGTAAGGATCCCAGGATTTTCCGCTGTTGTATAAGGTGGACCACCTTACGAACGTTATCACCCGCCTGCCTCCGGGGGGAAAAACCTACTTGGTCTTGTGGATCAGACTATGCAAATATTTATTGATACAAAGACTAAGGATCTTGCCCAATATCTTCAGATCTTCATTAAGAATAGCAATGGGATGAAAAGGCTTGCGGTTCCTGCACATCATCTATCGTTTTAGGAATCATTGAGATATCCACTCTGAGCGTGTCCGGAGAGGGCAAAGAGCCCTTTCGTAACTCATTGAAATAGTCAGCCAAGATCGGCACCAACAGGATCGCAAATTTCTTATAATAGAGACCGGAAAAGCCGTCAGGAACCAGGGCTGTGGTGGACTGCAGAGATTTGATAGCTTGAAGCACTTCCGATACGGTTACACCGGCGTTGAGGGCCATCTGCGCCGCTTTGGACAATCTAGGAAGTTGGAGATCTTGAAAGAACGCCTGTGCCTGAGTCACAGGGAAGGGAGCAGGTTTAGCGTAAAAGTGTGAAAGTTCACGAAACGGAAAACAATCTGCTGGGATTGGAAGTACAGCCACCCACAGGAGGGCACAATTGGATCAGTTTGTGGGGTTTCCCTACAGAATTGAGTTTCCTGGCCAGCATCGGACCCAGCTTACTAGCACAGGAATAAAATTTATGTTTGGTCCAATGCAAGACCCGTTCAGCCTCCAAAGAAGCAAGTAGATCCAATTATGCAGCCAGAGAGTCCCGTGTGCGTTTATGGGCTGCGGATGGGATTGACTTCCAACCGGCATCCGCAGAGGCCAGTAGAGAATGAAGATCCAAAAGACAGCGCTTCCGAGCCGCCGCCAGCTGTATAATGTGACCCTGCACCGTGACTTTGAGCCTCCCACAGGGGCACTGCCGAGCAAGTACCTGCCCAAGAGGTCCACTATATTTTGAGCACAGATGAAGGTGAGATTGCGTTTGAAAGATATCAACACACCCCGATGTTTCTCAGGAGCCGAGGCTTTGTAAAAAGTGGGATAATGAGGCTAAAGCTACCTTGGAATGGAGGACTTAGAAAACCTGGTTTCCTACAAACATACCATGTTGATTTGAGGTGATGAAAAAACTTTAGATCGCGTCTGAGGCAAATTGAAGCCTTGAATATTTTGTGAGTATACTTTGAAGAGGGGTGAGGTTGGATCGGAGCAGCACGCTCAGCAGAAAAAAAGCATTAGTCAGCCAACAATTTCCACTCCCAGGGACAGTCGGACCATGGCGTCCCTAAACTCTGCATGAAACAAAAACAGAAGGAAAAGAAAACAAAGAAAAGAAGACGACACAAGGAGTATGTACAATAGCACAGTCGTATCACACCAATGGCGAAGTGCATCCTACACTTGAAGGATACTAGTTGGGGGTGGCTCTACCACCGGACACATGGTTGCAAATGAATAGATCAAAAACATAAGCCCTCAGGGGGCAAAAAGGCAATCAACACAACATAATGGAGTCCCAGAGTAAGAAAAGCATGAGTCCCGGAAGTGGGTACATCTGCGGAAACTTCCCCATTGGAAACCCAGCTTAGCTTGGGGGCCTAATCCCCTCCGGGGGGACAACTACAGGCTGCCGTGGTACCCAAACAACACAGCCCAGGTAGTTCCCTACCCAACTTCCCAGTAGGACCAACATCCTGGCACCCAACTAGGGCCTACCTGAGCCAACTTCCCTCCCCGGAGCCCAAGGGAACTATCGGCCCATTCCACTGACGGGAATCCAACCAATGTCGCCTGGGCCCGTTGCAAGCAACAATGGCAAAAAGTCATAGACCTCAGTTCCAGGAGGTGACCCCCCTCCCCCCACTCAAAAACGGAACCCAAGGGAGCTGGCTGGACCAGGCCAATCCTTGAACACTATCAAACTGGGAATGCCTAAAAGGCCAAGCTAACGGTCCCATCAGGAGAGTCCAACGGTGAAACGGGAAGTCTTGGACATATCTTCAGCCCGGAGATGAGCAAGATGGACTTGATCATAGAGGGGTCTGAGGGAGGGACCTTTTCCTGTTGGATGTCTTCTCCCAGAGGCTGCCCAGAGGAAGCAGTCTCGCCGAGGATCCGGATGAATGAGTCGGGCTCTGCATAGTGCCTCCCATCGGAAGAAGGTGTAAAGATTCTAGGAGAGAGTGGGCCTCCTCCGGCGTGGCTGCGGCCCTGGTAGTTGAAGGTCTTTAATTTTAACCACTTGAGCCCCAGAGGATTTACCCCCCTTTAATGACCAGGCCTTTTTTTGCCGTTTGGCGCTGCACTAATTCAAATGATAATTGCGCGGTCATGCAATGCTGTACCCAAACGAAATTTACGTCCTTTTTTCACACAAATAGAGCTTTCTTTTGGTGGTATTTTATCACCTGTGCGCTTTTTATTTTTTGCGCTATAAACAAAAAAAACCACGAAAATTTTGAAAAAAAAAACAATATTTTCTACTTTCAGCTATAAAAAATATATCGTAAACTCAAAGCTAGTCATAAATTTAAGCC